CACACACACACACACACACACACACACACACACACACACACACACACACACACACACACACACACACACACACACACATCTGTTTTGCATGTCATTTGAGTAAAGTGTTTCATTTCTCTTTGATGAATCCTTTGTAGAAACATCCAAAAGAATGGTTTGCTGGCAGCTGTTTTAATGAATGGCTTGTCATGAGTAATATATTAATTTAGCCACATTGAGGAATGCACTCGTAAATTATAGGAATATCGGTGACTCATCAAATCCATTTTTCCAAGCACATAATGCAACCACTACCTCATTTTACAAATCAAGGGCACCATATGAAAGAAGAACTGGAGAACTGATCAAAGCTCAGCTTGTAATTCTCCCTACTACCTAGGACTCCCATGAGGTGGTGGGGAGACAAGATAAGCCCGATAAATCTACACAGGAAGAAGTTTTCGCAATGATAAAAACCTTGTTTTTGAAGCTGATGTTCAAGAATAACCAGTATTCTTTACATTATATTTTGTATTCTGAATTTTAACCTAGTAATGTTATTTTTCATATGTCCAAAACAACTGGGGCCTCTTTGTATTTCTTCCATTTGTATCTTCTTTTGATGAGCTTGGGAAGGGTGTGTGAATTTATCTCCTAACCTTTCAGAAAGGGGGAAGGTACTGTATGTAAGACTGAGAAATAATACCTGGGTTAATCTGCTAGGTGCATCAACTCCTGCTTGGACTAAGGGTCCAAGAGGTGCTTGGCAGAAAAAGATCAAAAGGAGAGAAGAAAATTCAGCCCAATGAACAGAGCTGAGGGTCCTCTTATGAATATAAATTGATTCAAATATTCAGTGTCAGATGAACTATATCTCAACTGCATCTATATTTCCGAACAGTAGGCATGCACTTTCTGTCTGCTATAGGTGTAAGTGTAATCAGAGTTTTGTCTCTGTTTTTGAGACTCGTTGGTAAACAGGAAGAGTGCTCGGAGAATGGAGGCAGGTTAATTGTACTGTCCCCATGTTAAAAAAAGAGAAAGGTAACTGCAAACCTGTCAACTTGACCTCAGTAGCTTT